TGATGCAGGTTTTGATTTATAGTTCACAAGTTGATAAGCCTTATTACACTTTAATTGTAGCTCCAGAATAACTGTGTTTACATTATTTCATTCACATTGTGATCTAAGCCACGATGGGAATGGTGGTGTTCACTCATTAGTCATTACTGAACATGAGAGTCTTCTGTGCCGTTGCCATAATTATGTTGTTACATTCACTATGATAGAGAGTGTGGGTTGTAGTGAGCAGACGGTTTGCAGTGGAGATGGCATTGATTTATGTGCGTTACTGTGCGGAGAAGACTACAGACTCATCATGTCAACAATCTGCTGGCATCACAAACACAAGTTTCCCATGCTGACTGATCACAGTTCTTGCTGCGTTCACGTGGCCTATCCTTAGCTGCTCTATCGCCTATGTCTTGTTACATTTTGGATGAGGTGCACAACAGCTGTGGCCAATAAGTCCTCCAAATTAAACGTAAATGACATTGTTGACATTGTCATTTGTCAGTGCCCTCCAAAGCCGTTATACTTCAGTGCTGAAAAATGAATTTATTTTATTTTGTAACAATTCTGTGGTTAAGGTTTGGTCAGGTATAGCCACAAAAATCACATGGGTTAGCATTTAGGTTAATTTAGGTAAAATTACCACTTAGTGCAACCTGGTCATCTTCACATGCGGTTAAGGTTAGGGGACGATTATGGTGAGGCTTAAAAAATCAAATGACTGTTGGTTGGAAATGGGAAATGGTCTGTTTCATTGTTCCATCCATCCTGACCTGCACCCTGCAGATGTGGTACTGTATGGCTCCAAATCTATGCTGTAACGCACAACTATAAATCCACCTTAAAGGGATAGTTCTGATTTTTTGATGTGGGGTTGTGTGAGGTAGTCAAATAAGTCAGTACATTACCTCCAGTACATTATGATCACCATGGTGCCCGTTAGGAAAGCTGACTGGGGCACAGGCAGAGTGGCAGAGCTATGTGTTCCTGTGCACAGGGCCACGAGAAAAAACATGTTTTAGACATTTTTAAAAATCATGTAGAATATTTTCAGCAGTTTATCTTCCTTTGAAAACAGCACTTTCTTTCGGTACTACATTTTCTCAACCGCTGAACTACCATATTCCTACGCACAAGTGCATCTATGGAGTGGACAGCCGCAGGTCAGCTGAGTGAATCAGAAAGCAGCATAATACAGTGCACCCCGTACGTTCGCTTTTGTGTAAGAATATGGTAGTTCAGTGGTTGAAAAAAGAAGATAAACTGCTGAAAATATTCTACATGAGACGTACATTTAAACAGATATTGGATTGTTTCGGTGGGCGTTTTTTAAAGTGTCTAAAACACATTTTTTTTCTCATGGCCCCATACACAACAACACATAGCTCTGCCATTCTGCTTGTGCCCTGGTTGGCTTTCCTAACTGGGACCGCGCTGATCACAATCTACTGTATGTAATGTACGGACTATATATGACCACCTCACACAACCCCACGTCAAAAAACCCGAACTATCTCTTTAAGGTGGCTGAGATGGGAATTATTCAAACGGGGCCTCAGCTCAATGTCAAGAAGATGACCGCAAAAGTTGGTGCAGTAACATTTACTCTGGGAGCTTAGCGGTGGTCTTTGTGGTCTTTGTGGTCTTTGTGGTCTTTGTGGTCTTTCTTATCTTATCTAGCCGAGAGCGTTGACAAGGAGGAGACAAAAACAAGCTGTCATCCAAGGTCAGCAGTGGGCACACAAAAACTGTCAAACCAAAATATTTGCTCAACATTGCAACCACAAGGTCTTCATCAGAGCAGCGAGCGTTGAATACATGAATAAGTAATTTTCACACTGCACTTCACAAGGGTTTTGCAGTGCAACCTGTCTCCGTTGTTTAAAGTAAAAATATTTAACTTAGCTCTCATAAACAGTATGTTCTTTTCCACGAGTCATTTAACAATGACCTTATATACATGTAAGTCGTGCAGACATCACATAGACACATGCGTACCTGAAGAATTACATGAAGCCACTTTATCCCTGTTAAAGTTTGTGTACGTTACCATGATATGTGGAGTGGTAAACACGTGTTAAATGTGCTTCAGTTGGAGTGTAGGACAGAAGCATCTGCAACAATGCTGTTGTCCCATATTGCCCCCAGCAGATGGTTCTCATCAGGCAAACACACAGAGGGAGTAGAGGTCATCAGACAGACCAAGGAGCTGCTCAGCATGTTTGCCTCAAAGGTAGCAATGGATCCGCTAATGTCAGCAATATTGCAAATCAATATTTTCTCTCATCCACGTCTTGTGATGGATCACCTTAGGAAACCTCAAATTGACATGTATTGCATTAGTGCACCTATCAATATTATACATTTCATGGAGACAAACTCAAGATCAGCCCTTTCTGTGCTTTAGTTCAGGTTTCAAGAAATGAATCTGACCAGGCAGCGACTATAAACCTCCTCCACTAACTTCTAAAAATGACTCAGACTGACCTTCGCGATCTCACTTCTCCTTTTCTGTTTGCTCCCATTTTTATCAGACATCAGCAAAAGTTGCCCAGCCATAGATTTGTCAGTGCTGACACTTTGGCCTCAGACCAGACTAGTTTTTCTGCTCTGAATGCCATTTTTAAAACCTTTATCAGTAAAGCAAATTGTCAATGGCTCCAATTTGAACCCAAACAGAAAATCAAAGCAAACATGACTCCTGTTCCACCAGTGCAGACTTTGAACAAGGTAATAGAAGTGTGGAAGCAGTGGTCTTATAGTCACTGCTGTAGTGCAGGCACAGTGGCTCACCCTCATTTTCATAATATTCAAAAACAATTATTGTAAATACCACCACAGAGAGAAGCTCAGCATTACTATCATATCTATTTTGTTTTAAACAACTGAAATACAACTGTGAACCTTCTAAGATGAACAAATTCACACATCCACATTTTAAAAGACGTTGAGAGAAAGGTTTCAGTTTCACCATGTTTATTGTTAATTGGCTGAATCTGAGAATTGATTCACAGCTGAGAGAAATGACAAAACGCAGGACATCGTCGTGGGAGGACAGTGATCTATGGAGCAGTCAAGCAGCTCATTGGTGGATGACAGTTTTGACAGGTGGAGGTGAATGGAGGACAGATAAGAGGCTGCGAAAGACAAAATATTTTCCTTAGGCTGCTGTCCTCATATACACACACTGACTCCTCCTTTCCATTAGTGATGCTCGTATAGCAGTGACCTTGAAACATGAATGTTACCTGCTGTCAGCACATATACATGAACACACACGCTGCAGTCCTTAATGAAAACCACTGAAATGTGTTTCTTCCAATTTTGTCTTGCAGTCAAAAAATAAATGTTGCCAAAATTTCAGAATGAACAAATTATAGAAATTATATGACTGTAGTAAAATTTTATCTACTCACTTAAAAGATAAAAGCACCAGCCATTTAGCGTTGCACTGCTGTAATGTGGAAGGACTCCCAGTGGACAGTGGGAAAAAAAGGATTCAAAACAGATGCAGCAGAGATATTGTCAGACACATTAAAATTTGGTTGGAAAAGAAAATCTGGTTGACGTCAACACACAATGTCGGCTAACTGACATTGTGATGTTTAACAGACATTTAAAAGACGGGTTTTGCTCAGGACTAGAAAGGCAAGATGGCGTTTACATGAGATGTTTGGAGACAATAATACCTCCATATATTAAGTGCAGTAATTAAAAATGTTTAAAATATATCAAAAATCACAAATTGTTTTAAGTTTACATGAAAGGAAACATTTCAAATGTTGTACAGTATGAAAAGCATTAAAACATATTAACCAGAAAAATTCCATTCATATACAACATACTTTTAACTGTTTTATGGGTTTTATTTTATCTTCTTCATTCAATCCTTTTGATGTCATAGTCTAAAGGGTAAAGATGTTAAAACTCTCTTTGAAGAAGAACGACACTGAATGTTTTGCCTCTCTGAAAAGCATGAGCCCAACACCAAATGTCTACAGTGTCATAGGGATCTAAGCTAATACAATGGATCATTTCAAGTTTATGAGTCACTTTGAAGAGAGCAGTCTCTTAAACCCAACAGGATTTTATGAAATGTATTGTTTTCACTCATAAAGGGCAGCAAATGGATACAGTCATATCATCTTAAACACTGAATTAAAAGGAATAATTGGAGAAGGGAAAATGAGGTTGAAAGTCAGACTGGGATTGGTAAGATGATGCTGAAGCATTTTGTTCAGGAAACTAAAGGGAAAATAAGAGTTGATAGGTGATAAAACTGCTGCACTTTTCTTTTTTCTTTTTTTTCACAGACTTTCACAGAAATTAAAAACATGCAAAGGACAGGATGACTTTAAAAAAATGTGGCCAGCAGAGAGAAAAGTCTTCAGAAAAACTCATCACAGCCAAATTAAAACAACATTCTCCAAAGTGTTTCCACTATTATTACTGCTACTCCAGTTACCGCCATTACTGCCGAAGATAAGAGGAAACTGTAATGAGTGGAAAACTGGGGACTTTACCCAAATATTACTCAGTCTGTGAGCAGTGCAAAGGAATTCAAATGCCCGGAGTTACTTAATTGATTTTGCTCTTTTTTCAGGCAAACCTATATAAACTTATGTAAAAATAGATTTCTTGAGAACCGCTTATGTCAGTATATGACCCAATCACAGAAATGATATTTCCTGTTTATATGTGGGCCATCTTCCTTTCTTAAACATCCCATACTGTGCAAATACACCATGCATGGGAGTGCATGGTGTATTTATATGTTGCACAGTAGAATATTTTCACCTATGTTCTTACCGATTTATAGTTTACAGTTTATATGGACAATGATTAAACTCACATGGTTTATAGCAGCACATATGACAAGTCATTCTCCCACTGAACTCATGGTACATCTTAAGAAGAACTCAAGACCAAATGTAGACAAGACTAGAAGTCATTTCCTTCCTGATTTTCAGAAAAGGGTAGTTGAAACTTCTGTGCATAACACCATCCTCCGGTGGAGTGTGTGGGGGGAGAAAATCATTTTATCCTCACTTCAGGACATTGTTATACAATAGCCTACACACATGCGTGGTCTTTGTTTTTTTTTCCTCTCCATCCTGACCCGAGGTAAGTCGATATTCTTTGCTTTTTTGTTTTCTGGTATTAGTAGTGTGCTTGTGGGTGGAGGGGTGTGTGTGCATCCATGTGTGTGTGTGTGTGTGTGTGTCGGTGGGTGGGTTTCACCATTTCAGAATTACAATCTGCATCCGATCATCCAGTTTGATCAATTGCTGTCCTCCACAGTGTCGCCCACCTCCAGTGGTGTCATTGGCTTCATCGGGCACAATGTCACCTTGCCCTGTAGGTATGACACTCAGAGTCACGGTGTGCTGAGTTTCTGTTGGGGACGAGGAGAGGTTCCCAGGTCCAAATGCTCCAACACCATCCTCTCCTCGGAGGACGGGGCTGTAAACCTCAGGAAGTCCTCCAGGTACCAGCTGCTGGGCAGGGTGACAGATGGAGATATCTCCCTGACCATCCTGAACGCTCAGTGGAGCGACGCTGGTGTGTATGGCTGCAGGGTCGAGATCCCTGGGTGGTTCAATGACTATAAAGCCAACACAAACCTGGTCATTGAGGAAGGTAATGCTCATGCAAACTGTTACGGATGATCATGAAGTCTGTGGTGTTTTTCAGTTGAGCTTAAATGTGTTATGTTTTTTTCCAGCTCCTGTGGAACAGGACTGGTCACTTATTGGTGGGAGACATAATGAGCAATCAGGTGTGAATAAATAAATATTTCAAAAAGTGGGAGGTATTGTTGATCTTAAGTGTCTCTTTTTTGCAAATCTAAATGTCGTTAAGCAGTTGCTTCATTGGCACTGTTTAGTATTCAGGGATAAAACAAAATGTGGTTCACTGCAGTTAATTTGAGGAATACACTTTACTTTATGCATGGTAGTGACTGGTGGTTTTAACTCCGAACAGAAACATGGACAACATCTGCAGAAGTTGGTGACCCAACACTGGGCATCATCAGAAGTGAGGTATGGTACTGTTTTGTTAAAAATGAAGAAATGTATTTGAAAAAGTATTCACAGCAGATATAGATAACTATGCTTTTTAAGGTACAGGACATTTATTAAAGAATCATGTTTTAAAATTTGAAACATAACCAGAAATATCTCATGGAAATTATAAGTTTGTGGCTTTCCAAAGATATTTTGTGCATGTGTGGGTGTGGGTTAAGTGTGGAAGTGAGGAACAGAGAGTACAAAGCTACAGACTGGTGACAAATTAAAGGAAAAACCAACCTAAAGTGCTGCCAGAGCAGCTTCAGTGTGCCTTGGCATTGATTCTCCGAGTCTCTGAATTCGACTAGAAAGATGAACACCATTCTTCCAAAAGACATTTCCTCATTTGGTGTTTTGATGATGGTGGTGGAAAGTGCTAACACATCGGTCCAAAATCTCTCATTTGTGTTCAACTGAAAGTTCTGGTGACTGTGAAGGCCTTAGTATGTGATTCACTGATCATTTGTACAGTCATCAAACCATTTAGTGACCCCACGTGCCCTTTGGATGGGGGCACTGTCCTCCTGGAGGAGAGCACTCCCGTCAGGATAGAAATATATCATCATAGGATAAAGCTGATAACTCAGAACAACTTTGTATTGATTGGAAGTGACCCTTCTCTCAAAAGTTCACCTTATGGGTCAAGCATTCAGGCCTGTACTGTTCTCTTGGTGTCGCCACACATGCACTCACCCACTTGTGGAGAGGATGGTCAAGGATGACTGACCAATTTCCACATCTCTGTAGACCAGTGATTATGTTTTTGCACCACTGAAATGTGCATTCATGTTTGTAATGAGGAGTTTATGCAGGTCAACACTATTATAATATCCCTTTCTATGTAACTGTAGATGGACCACGTCCTGTTTCAACATTCTCCGTCACCTGTAAACACTTTTCTGTTTTTCCTTACATATCTCACTAATGCAGGAGCATCACAGTCGTCAAATGTGCCCACCACAATTCCCCCCAGGAGAGACTAATAAGAGGAACAAAAGGCAATGAGAAATTTGAAGTAAAATAGAATTGATTGTGAACAGGAAGTAGATCACTATGGGAAGCGGTCCATAGGAATAAGATGCTGCTGAATGGCAGCTGAGGGAAAGAACACAATTTGAGAGCTCACATGTGATTGGCTAAAGGCCAGTGTGTCAGGTTGCGATAGTTTGGATGAAAACGAGAATGAGCTGGTGAAGTTTAGAGATAGGGGGAAAGAGCATGTGACTTAGAAGGCATACGTAGGAGATAGTCTTCCTGACTGGAGCTTCATATGTCACTTTAGTTACTGTTCCTATTGAAAGACGAGCTAGTTGAGCAACCTCGTGCCATCTTTACGCCAACAATGATCCCTCTTTCAAAGTCATCTTGCCATCTTTACAAATTCAGACGCGACTGGGCCTGCACAGCATTTTTATACCTGCCACAGAGCATGATGGGATGCTAAGTGCTTAATTGTACCGTGCAGTGCACCTATGTGGAAGCATCTGCATTCATTATTTTTCTCCAGTCATTTATTCAGGTTTTTACTTTAATTTGTCACCCATTTGTATATTACAGTTTTCAATTTATAGTATATTTTTCAATGTACTGTATATTTACAGCACATATTTAAGATTGTGTGCCAATCATCATTGACCTAGTCCCTCATTTTCATTGCAGGAAAAATTCAAAGCCTTCCTGAGAGTGGAGAACATTGCCAGGATGGGAGCTATTTTTTTCTCCACCATAATCATAATCCTCGTCTTTATTTTCTGTAAGTGTGGAGTGGATTATAGCTTGTGAGTCATGTGCCATTCAGATTAATTTTACACACTCAAAGTGGGTGTCTATTGAGCAGTCGAAGTCACTGAGAGTGTGCCTTCCCATTTCAGACTGAGACTATCATTTAATGTTTTCATTTCTTCCCAGTAGGGAGAAGGTTTCAGTCAAGGGGGACACTTGAACATCTCAACGCCTCAGCTGCTGAGAACATTTATGAAAGTGTCCCAGTGCCTAAGTGATGGTCAGCATCACACCAACAAAGATTTCTACAAGGAGCTTCTGGCTGAAGAAGTGTCTGCTTGCAATGTGCTGACGCTTTCCATCTCTTCAGCTTTAGTGAGAAACCTTTTGAACTCTTATCTGTTAAACAGTAAGAAGATTTCTCCAGTGAAGCAGCTTACAGGGTAACACTGTTCTCAGACTGAACGAAAAGGGTAAATATTCATCAGAAGATGCAAAAAAAATCCTGCAGAAAATTATTTGCTTTTATTCTCTGTCTGTCTGTGTTTCATGGCAAATTTGATCTCACAGCCCTGAAAAGCTTGTGGATGGTTTATACCTGTGGCCACAATGCCACCTGCTGGACTCTACACATCAGCATCAAAATATAAGACGGGATGTTTCTCTACTGAACCTTCATTAATGTGAGAAACACGGTTTGGTGTGGAAAGATAGGACAGAGAAGGAGGATAATGAGAGTGTGTAGACTACTCTATATTTCTTGTAAGTAAACAAATAAATCGTTTTGGACACATTTTAGCTCCACATAAATAACACTTCCACCATATTTTTGTCAGGTTAAGATTAAAATGTTTGGTTGGCTGGCAATGACAATTTAACTATGAAACACTGAACCAGTTCTCTCCTGCTCCAACTCCTCTTATTATTTGGACTCACTGATCTTGTTCCTGTTTTGCACATATATCTTTCTTTCCCATGAATTAATGTAGCAGTGCAAGATTAAAGAAATCACAGGTGGAGGCATCAGCTGAAATGCGTCAACAACTACATGCTTTTGAACCGTTTCTGCTTTATGCTACTCCTTACATAACATTACCTTTAATCTGCCAAATTGTGTACCCCAGTGGAAATCACCTGGTATTTGGTGCCTAACTACATTTGACAGGTGTAATGGTCAACAGATTAGATAGACAGACAGGTTAGAAGATCTAGAGACTATGACCCTGTAGGCAGACAGTTTAAGAGGTCGCAGCACCAAAATGTGACAGCCTCGCAGGAACTGCAGTGTCATCCTGAGCGACCTGAAGCCTTCTTCCAAACACGGTGTGCTTATACAGGCCAAAACAAATGAAAATTAATTTATTGAACTGGAAAATGTGTTTTATTCTTTTTCAGCTTCAACAATAGCAAACATGAAGTCTACTCCTCCTCAGATACATTATATGTTTGTGAGAACTCCTCAACATATTGGATATAATTTGAAGCAATAACAACATTCTTCATTCTTCAACTTGATGATAGTAGTTTAATGTTCAGATAGTAATGAGGTTGGGAAACACAGTGTTTACGTTTTACTTTCTCCAGTTCAAACAATGTCAAAAGTTGAGATGGCCAGGACCACTGCAGGTTGTGCCACAGTCTGTGAACAAAGTTTCACTTCAGGTGCTCAGTGTCTTTTAAATGTAGTTTTCATGACAACATTGATGCTGATAATGATTTTAGAACAAGGAAGTCTTCTTGTCTTGGAAATCACAGCATTAAGACTTGAATATATTTTCCATTAAGATTCACTCAGTGACTCACAGACTTTTTGTTTGAGATATTAGATCAAATGGTTTTTTTTAGCTAATTCTAGCCCAACTGTCACGTAGGGGCTACTTGTTTATAGTTAAATTGAAATAATTTGTCCATTCAACGACCTGTAGTACAACGTGTGCTTTGTGTTTCTCAATAAAAATATTTGAAATTAATTATAGCTCTGTTTGTCTTTGAATCATATTATCACACTTTTGTCTTGGTTAAAAATCTTTAATGTACGTGTTTTGTATTTGTTTTCCTTCCATATTGAACAGAGCAGCCCAAAATCTAAACAAATTTAGCCTTTTTTCTACACATCTAAATGCGTGGCATCACTTGTTTTATTGGCAGTGATTTCATATGCAGGGACATAAAAAGAAACTCTATTTTTGAAATATCTTGGGTCAATGCCCTTCAGAAGTACTGATGTTTAAAATTGCAGAAGAAAATTGGAAGTGTTGCAACTATTTCCAACATGAAAAATCATCATGTATACTGTTTGATATAAAATCTGTGCAGATAATTTTACTTAAAAAATGGTAGTAATGTAGCTCTTGGTGAATATTATTGAAACCTTAATGTTTCTTTCTTAATGTTAATTGTGCGTAAAGTGATATTTTAGTATTACAAAAGAATAATTCTTCATATGGTAAAATATGTGATGAACGTGAAGTGATTTCCTGTGTGTGTGAGAGACAGAGACAAAATTATAGATCAGTTTACTCAACTTGTTTCAATATACTGTATATTTAAAACTACATGCCAATTATAATTGACCCAGTCACTCATGATGAGGTTCAATTTCATTGCAGGAAAAATTCAAAGCCTTCTGGGAGAGGAGAACATTGGCAGGATGGGAGCTATTTTCTTCTCCACTATAATCATAATCCTCCTCTTTATTTTCTGAATGTGTGGAATGGATTATAGTTTGTGACTCATGTGCCAATGAGATTACTTTTAACACACAGTCAAAGTGGGTGTCTACCACACAGTTGAAGTCAGAGAGGGTGCCTTCCTTCTTTCTTCTACACCAGGAATACACTTCACATTGGATGTAGATTTTTCTGAGAATAATTCACATCCCACGCCAACATTTAGTACCAGAGTAAGTTCATAAATTTAGAACAGTTGGCACTGAACATTATACAACTTTTTCATTGAATGTAATCCAGAGTTTTGCAGATTCATCCAGTGTCAATGTTTTATCTAGTGATAAAATTACTTCTTTAGACTCAAAATATCACTTAACATTTGCATTTTTTTTAAACCAGGTGCCAAAGGATTCATCTGAACATAGTAGAACATCTGTGACTGTGCGCAAAAGCCTGACACTGTCAGCATTACAAAACCAACAGATTTGAGAGATTTCTTTAGGGAACTGTGTAAAGACGTGGCCGTCGTGACATTTGTTAACCTCCTGACCCCTTTTTTTGTTGGTCAATATAAAAAAAAATGGAAATGTACCAAATCCTCAAGAGAAGCAGCTCACGGGGTCCCGTGATGCTCAGATTGAGGTGAAGAGGGCAAATATGTGACAAAATGCACAAATATCCTGCTGATTGAGTAATATCATTTTCTTGTTTTACTTATTGTTATATAATAGGTCCATGTAAATCACACTTTCAATATATTTTTGTTCATGATAAATATTATTTTATCTTATTTTTCAATTCAAATGTCCCAAACAAACAAAAAAATTAAAACAATGTGTTCCACTGTTGTAAAACTTGTTTTACTGAATTTAAGACCTTGTTCTCACATTTCATTCAAAGAAAGTTTCTCTTTCTCAGTTTCTGTTCCAGTTCCTGTTTACAAGTGGATTTTTATTATAGAGTTTAGTAAGAGTTTACGTGAATGCTGATTTTGCTCTTGTTTGGGGTGTGTAATTTTACATGAATTAGTATTGCAATGTAAGTAAAATCCAAGGAATCAGGGGTGAATGAGAGGGTGGGATGCACTGAAGACAGACTGTATTTACAGGAACTTTGGATTTCATGACTGATGTGAGAAAATTATCTGAAATGTGCCAATTTGTTGCTGCTTTGTAACTTTCTCTTTCACTTCAGCCTATTTTTATTGGACACCCAAGCCATCAGAGTATGACATGAAACAATTAAGTACTGTATATAGTACAGTATGATTGGATTTTTATTAAAGTAGAGCTAAACTCAACAGGTGTGATTACACTAATTTTTTTAATGAAAATATTAAAGGTGAGAAAGAAAAAAAGAAAGAAAAAATATGTATTTGCCTGCTTTCACTCTCACAAATAACTATAACAATAAAAACCTCTACAGCTTTTTATTTTTGAAATATTGTTGTAGTAAGTTGTAGCACATGTGTTTTTGGGACTGATCAAAGAGGACGTCCTGTGCTGGGTTACTAAGCAGCAGTCTAAGGAACACACAAAAAGTCCACAGCCTCTGAAATCATCTTGTGATTGTGCTCACGTGCTGATGATAGCATTAAGTTAGGATTTAAGTTAGCTACAGAGTCTTTACAGTTGTTTTGAATATTTTCGACTGGAACAAATTATTTTACAGTTTCTTCACTGTAAAAAATAAAGTGTCTTATTTTACTGCAGAATTTCTGTAGATGGAAAGCTGCTCTTCTAACCAAGGAGAAGTTAAAAGTTTCAATGTTCAAAATTTCAAGACTATCTATCTATCTGAAGGCTAGAGAACAAACAACAGGAGGGAAGACAGTGTGTTTATATTCTTGATTCTGTCTTTGTCTAATCATCAAAATGAAACAGTTTTCCACTTTTAGGTTAGGGAACTAAAACCACAGAAAAGGAAACAGGTCTTTTCGACACTCCTCTTCAGCAGAAGTTGTTTGTGTGAGCATCTCAAGGACAGCATCATGTGATTTAGAAAGATTTGAAAGCTGAAACCAGACTGTGGTTTGGTTTATTGTCGCTTAGTAGGTGAACCAATCTTTTGATTGATCCAGATTTGTAAAATGATTATTTTGGGCAGCAGACGTTTTCCTTTGTGTTGCAGTCTTCTTTTTTGTCTACACCTAGGTAAGACATTCATGAAAGTAATCATGATTAAATGATTATAACAATGATGATGTCTCAACGGGACTTTCTGCCTTTTCAGGTTGTGTGTCTGCAGACGACATCAGAGCCAGTGTGGGCAAAGATGTTACTTTGACATGTAACTATGATGCTCAGCACTACGGCAGGCTTCCTGTGTGCTGGGGCCGAGCAGCCATCCCAAACAGTGGCTGTGCAAATGAGGTGATCAAGTCAGACGGGACATCTGTGGTCAGCAGACTGTCAGAGCGCTACCTGCTCATGGGTAATCTTGGCAGGGGTGATGTGTCGTTGACCATCAGGCAGGTTCAGGAGAGCGACTCAGGGATATACGGCTGCCGTGTGGAAATACCAGGATGGTTCAATGATCAAAAACACCATCTGAAGCTGACTGTGGAAGCAGGTGAGACCCACAGGGATAAATTATAATGTCTGTGGGGGGAGGGAAAAGTACACGAGTATTTGTGACAAAATTAAAAGTTTAGTTACTGTTATGCCCCAGTGACTCCCTGCTCAGAGAAACATGAAGAACGTTTCCCAGAGACAAAGGCGACATCTGAAAATTCTTAGATTCAAGAAGCTGGAATAAGTGTCTGGCAAAATTGGCTTGATAATTGATTAATTGATTATCCAATTGTTTACAAATTTCTCTTTTTATATATTGACTTATCAACTAATTCTTTCAGCACTATATAGCTCTGTATAAGTTTTTTCTTTCTCCTTAGAACGTCCTGATTCCCCGAGGGTGGAGACAAGAGAGGTGAAGGAGAGAACTGTCACTGTCCGCTGGGCTCCTGTGTTTGATGGGGGCAGGCCCATCACATCCTACATCATTGATCTAAAAAACAAACAGGGTAAGCTCAAGAAAACAATCCCAATAACCCCCAATAATGACATAAGGCAGCTTATTACATTTCCAGAAATGTACTTTGCTTTGTGTTTGCTTTATGGAGCTTATCTATACATTGTTGTTGCACAGCATCCTGGAGTACTGCCATAAAGACTGTAATCGTAAATCCTGAACTGACTCAGGTGACTTTGGTGGACTTGAGTCCGGCCAAGACCTACAACCTCCGCATGTTTGTTAGGAACAGCGTGGGCATTAGTGAGGCCAGCAACGTTCTGACAATCACAACAAAAGAAGCAGGTAGAGTCAGTTAGTATTTATTATTTTAGAAATAATTACAATTACTGCAGCGCTGTGATTTTTTTTTGATGGATGGCACCTTTAAAATTTGTTTTCCATGCAGCACCAGAGGGTCCACCCCTGGATGTACAACTAGAGGTCCTCACGTCTCACAGTATCAAAGTGACTTGGAAGGTAAAGTCACAATTTGGAAACTTTATTTGTTGACACATTCAACAACAATCTCAAAAAAATGTGTTCTTGTATTTGAAAGAAAAGCAGCATACCACCGTTTTTATTCATTTTTTGTGCCTAGACATGGTTTATACTAAATTATATATATATATGTATATATATACGTACTGCTATAATAGTGTTTGTTCTCTCTTGAATAGCCTCCAAGGGCTGAGCACAGAAATGGGGTTCTGCAAAGTTACAGCCTTAGCTACAGAGAGTATGACCCTGTTAACAGACACTTTAAAAGGTGGCAGCATCAAAGTGTGACAGCCACACGGGAACTGGAGAGTGTCATCCTGAGCGACCTGAAGCCTTCTACCAAGTACGGTGTGCTTGTACAGGCCAGAACAAATGCAGGAGTGGGACCTCCTTCATCTTCACCTCTCTGCTCCACTCTGGATGAGGGTAAACTGGGAAATATGGCATATATAAAGATATGCCTAAAAGATGAATTTAATTATTATCATGATGCCAGTTTAATATCAAGTTATTAACCGAGATTGGAAATTCTCTTTATTCTGTTTCAAGTTCACACAACTTCAACAGTTACAACTATTCAGTCTACTTCCACTGCTGCCACAAGACAAGACACTACAAGTTTCACTTCAGGTACCGTATGTGACATATAGGAATATATTCCTTATTAAGCATCTTGAGAAACATTTTATTTATGATGTTTTTAAAAAAAAATATATTAATGATGACTGAACCGTTTTCACTCTGTCCCAAGCTCACACAACTTCACAAACAGTTGAACCTGATACTGCTGCCACAG